GGCCGGGCCCACCTCTGGCCGCCCCGGGGCTCCTGGCCTCGCCGCGCGGTCGCCCCCCGGGAGCTGCGGCCCACGCACCCCGCCCGCCCTGCTGGAGATCGGAACCGGAGAGCGGAGCGGAGTGCCCAGTGTAAGCCAGAAGGGAGGACCGGCTTGGCCGGGCAGGGGCGGCCGGGTGGCTGGGTGGACCGAGGGACCAACGGATGAGTAGGGGGCTTTGCAGCTGGCGGCTTTTATCACGTGCCCGAGGACACCACTGACGAGCGGCTAGGAAGCAGGTGACTGATGATTGCTGTGTTTAAAAGAACAGAGCGATATTGAGACATCCGAGGACTGAAAGAAAGGCAAAGGCGTAGACTCGATGAGTCTCCCCGCACCTCCACCCTGCCCCACCCCGTTTGCCTCGAGCTTTCACAGCTTCCTCCTAAATTGGAAAATGGAAAGGAATCTGGAGGCAGCCAACCAGGAGTGAAAATCTTGCTACCTGTGAAATGAAAGGAATATGCTAATACCCGTATTCATCTGCCAGGAGGTATCCAGGGGAACTTTATTCTTGCTCTCTCTTCTCCTCTGCTACTGTGCTGATATTCACAGAGGGTCTGGGCGTGTTCCAGATATCTGAGAATTATTCAAGTTGCTGCCACGAATTCTGTAAGGATTAGGAGGACCCAAAAGAGAAAAGTCGTTTTTGCCGGGATTATAGTAAACAAGCGTGTCTCCAGCTTTCAGAGGCAAGTTTGGAAAGTTGTAAATAGCTCAGTTTCCGTCCCTCTACTGGACCAGGTGTGGAGAGAGGAGAGAGGGGGAAATAAACCGGCTCTATCTTAAGCTCCTTGTCGAAGCAGAGTGCTGCGTGCCCAGGCAGGAGTGCTGCTCTTGAGTTCCTAAATATTTCCCCGTTCCCACTCCCAAGGGCACGTGTCACTCAAAAGAACAAATCTTTTATCTAACATATGGACTGTTCTAATCCCCTCAGGACAATGCTCATTCGCCCAAACTGCTGGCCCCCACCCCAGGCTTACCTATTGCCTTCTCTTCCCCAATTGCCCAGATTTTCTCGTCACTCAGCAAAATCCACTTTGTCTTCAATTTCTGGGGCTCCTTAACATCCTTGGTGTAGTAGCAGAAAACTGTTTCTCCCCCTTTTAGCTCCTCTCTCTTCCCCTCTGCTCAGTCTACTTCAGGGAAGTGGCTGTAATTTAGATTAATAAATTTGGCAAGAAAAATTGGGCATGCTTGGTAGCTAGCCTTTTCCTCCTAACAGAGCACTGCCTGTAGGAAGATTGATGGCTAGTTACTGTTGCCAGGCAGGTGAGTATGCCGGGTAAGATTCAAGCAATAACATATTTCACTATTTTTGCTATTAGTACTGCTAATTCTCATTAGGCAACACGTAATTTGTGTCACTGTGTATTGGAGGAAAATTGTTCATCACCTTAACATTTCCAAGATTCACATTTTCCAAATATAAACTGAAGGAATTAGACTAGATCTCTCAAACCTGAAATGACTTTAGATCAATCATAAAGTTCCACTGTGTTCTGTTCTTTTTCCCATTTCAGTGGGGACCTTCATATTGTAAATAAGAAAAAAACATGGCTATTGTGAGGGGGTTTTCTGTTTCTTTTAAAACCATGTAAATACGGTATAATACCCAACTATCATGCAAAATCTGTTTTACCATCTTTCTTATGAATCCTTGTGTTTTGTAGTATTCTAAACAAATTAAATCAGAAATGTAATAATGCACCCATTGGACATACCAGAATTTCTGAGTAGCAGGTAAAGAACCTGGAACCTCACCAAGGCAACATAATTCCAGCCCAAACAAAGATATATGAGGTCTGTATTTCCAGCTTCAGCAGTCTTACCTTGAGAAGGAAATGGACTGTATTAATCTCTTTGAAATCTGACAAAGTGTTTATACTTGCAAATAATTAGCGTTACAGAAATTCTAAATTGTGACCTACTGACATAGATTCTTTTTTCCCCCCTTCTTCCTTTTGGCAAGTATTTGTTAATTGCACAGAAAGTATTTTTCTGTTTCTATAAAGAACATAAAGACATATAATGACTGACTTTTCCCCTGAAACAACCTCCTGTCCCGTTTGGAAGATCAGATTATGCTTTTTTTCCTCACAACTCACATCTGCTGCAATCAAAGAATTCTGTTGGCGCTACCTGAAAATGCATCCACAGAAGGATCACTTCTGAGCATCTCCTCTGCCCTACCCTCCTTGGAGCCCATCTAGTCTGTCCCAGCAGAAGCTGGAGGCCCGTATGGGTCTACTCCGTTGGTGTCCCTTCCCATCTAACTCTTACTCACACAGCAGACAAAAGATCATTTCAAAATTAAATCAGGTTGCTTCTATACTTAAAAACTTCCGAGACACCCTGTCACTCAGAGTGAAAGTTGTCTTTAAAATGCAAACAAGGTGCTTCAGGGCAAATCTGTTGACACTTCTGACCCCAATTTATGCTACTCTCCTAACTATGTCCCAGCCAATCTCCACAAACGTGAGTATGCTGACACCCTGGGGACATTTATTTGCATAGGCTGTTCCTCCTGCCTTGAGACTTCGATGCTCCTCCCTGAGGTGTGGCTCCCTTTCTTGAACTCCTTATTCAAATGACACTTCCTCACTGAGGTCTACTCTGTCAGTTTTACATAACTCAGTTCATCTCTATTCTCCTTCCCCCTTACACTTGTTTTCTTCACTATAAATATATAGCCCCTCTAACATAACCACCATTTACCTATCAACCACATTTGTTGGGCTTCTAGAATTTAACTTCCATGAAATCAGAATTTATTTTTTCCCTCTCTTATTCTTGGCTCTAAGACTATATCCCAAGTGTCTACTATAGGACTGAATATATATTATGCTTTTAAAATTATTTGCTGATTTACTGAATGAAAGAATCCATGAAAACAATTCTGTTTGAACCACTGGGTAGCCTGGAAAAACCCACCCAACAGCTGTGACCTGAACTGATTTAGCATCATGTTTCACAGTGGATAGAAATGAAGCACTCTTCCAGCACGCTTCATCTGTACCATAAAGGGAAACAATGATTTTTTTCCCCACCACACACCTCCACAGAGCAATGGTTTGAGGACTAATTAGATGGTGACATGGCGAAAGTATTTTGATTTTCTAGGAGAAGGCATTGTGTTAATTTCAGGCATTTTATTGTGTGAAAGGATTATAAGTGACAACAGGAAGTAGAAAGATGAGAATGGTGATGAGAGCAGAATTCTCCTACTATTATGCTAGCGTTTTATAGGATCCTTGCGTTAAAAGCGACATCAGAGGGCCTGCCAGATAGCTCAGCAGACTAAAGCACCTACTTAGCTAGGTGCAGGGTCCAGGGTTCAATCTCCCTGCCTTGGTGGCCCCACCCCCAGGGTGCGCTGAGAGATTTGAGACTGGGCGTGGTGGCATGCGCCTGTAATCCCAGCACTTGGGAGGCTGAAAACGGGGTCTGATCTGTGTAGTGAGACATTGTAGACCAAAATACAGAAGGAGAACAGGAAGGGGAAGCAGTTGAGGGGAAAAGGGGAAGGGGGAGGAGGGGAAGGAGGAGAAGGAGGGGAAGGAGGGGGAGGAGGGGAAGGAGGGGGAGGAGGGGAAAGTCCTATCAGGCAGGGAGAAGAAAAAAGTTTTTGGTTTTGGAATGCTTACCCTAAATGGCAGATTTTTAAGAAATACTTTCTTGTAATTAACTTTCAGTTATTTACAACATAGTATGCTCATTAATAAATTATTCTCCACACTTCAATCCTTTGGCCCATTTTGTGGCCATCTTCCTGCTAAACTAAACTTCCATTCTCATTTCAGAAGCCTGGCAAAGGGAAAGGAGAATTCAAAACTAAGATTTGCCCTTATTATGATTGCATGACTGTGTCTTTCCCATTAAGATGTTTAAGATCAGATTTAGAATACTTCCAAAATTCTCCAATTTCCAAATATTATAAATTTCTCCATTAATTGAGCACATTTGATGAATAAGAATCTGAATAGTATTCAGGAAGAAATGCCAAATGTTGACACTTGCTCCTGTCCTTTTGACAATGATGTAATGATTGTTGAAAGGGTTAGCCTTGAGCCCACTTTCTAAAATTTAGGAAATATTGGGCAAATGACCTGACCACTGTAAGCCTCATTTCCTCAACCCTAAAAGGTATCCATATTACCTGCCTTATTTTGTTCTGCTGTGAAAATACTTAGGGTTTTTTGGTTTTTGATTTTTGTTTTCTTGTTTCTTTTATGTATTTGGTATTGGATCTCACTACACAGATGGGACTCTTGGTGATCCTCCTGTTTTCAGCCTTTCCAGTGCTGGGATTACAGGCATGTGCCACCACGCTTGGACTCTGTGGGTAGGTTTAGCAAGCCCT